AAGAATCAGGGAGTATAGTATTTCTCTAAGGAGAGAGAAATGTTGCTATCAGAAAAAAATCACCTGGCAAGCTTACTCAACCCTATCAGGGGGTGGCGTGTGTGTGTGTGTGTGTGTGTGTGTGTGTGTGTGTGTGTTTGTGTGTAATGCCTCATTTTTAGGTGGAAAACCTAAAAGCTCAGAGAAATTCTACAGCTGGTGGAGAGACCGAGAAGGACCAGAAATACACTGGCCCTACTTCTGTCTTCTCCGTCCAGCGTGCTCTCTCTTCAAGGAGCTTGGGGCAGACGTACGCGCTACAGGCATTATTTGGCAGACCGGGTGACCCGCTCCACTCTACAAGGTCAGCGGCTATGGAGAAGGAGGTCAATGCCCTTCAAGGGGCTGACGACCTAAAGGAGGACACAAACTGGAGCGGACACAACCAGGGTGAGAAGTGGGGAGGGACGCCGCCACGCCCGCTTGCAGTGTGCACAGAGCAGAAGCAGCGATGCTCTAAATGTTACACACGGAGCTGGGGCCCTTCCTCTCAAGTGGCAAGTTCAGGCTCACCTCCACCCAAAGGGGGGCTACACGCCCCCCTCCTGCAACTGGACGGTGCTTCTCCTTCTTGAAAAGACTCCCACCTGTCGTCATGCCCAGCGGGCCTCAGGCCAGCTCTGTGAGCGTCCAGATAGAACTGAGCTCCAAAGGATGTTTGTGGCCTTTCAGGGAAAAAGCACCAGGTCTGTCTATGAGCTGCCTCTGGGAGGTGGGGGTGTCAAACCATCAACCTTTTAGTTCATTGCTCTGTGCTCAAGTGTTTGTGCCACCCAGGAACAGAGTAGATGCTCAATGCCTGAAAGCCCCACACTCCCCTTTCCCTGTAATACTTTGCATCTTCCATACAAGAGGCATGGAGAGCTGTTATCCAGAGAAAGGTAGTCCTGAAGTTCTAGAGATATTTTGGCCTAATTGCAAAATCAGGGAATAGAAAATGAAGGGCCACACCGTTACCTTCCACGATTGCTATTTCTTTGGCTCTCCGATTTATACTCTCTTATACCCAGGACACAGGCAAAGGGCATTTTTCCAGGGGGGTTACTGCTCCTTGATCTACACTCCCACTGTGCTCTGGGCAGGTCACCCTAGGGAACACGTAAAGAACTGAGAACTCCCTCTCTTGAAAGGTCAACTTGAACTCTTGTTGACACAGTGGTCCCCAGTTTACAAGGCAGCTTCAAAAAGTTGGTGGAAAAATGGAATTGAAAGATAGTGGAATTTTCCTATGAACTTTTTGGCAGCTGCCTCATACTTACTTATTTACATGACTGGATGAGAGTATGGGGAGCCGGACCCCAGACCACGCTAATGACTGAGGAAACACTGGCAAAGACTGAAGTATCAAAGCACACATGGCTTTGTGTTGTGAAAGGCAGACAGGGCTTCCCATCCCAGATTGCCTGCTTTAGTCTTTCCATCGACGCCAGCAGCCCTGCCCTGCTCCAAACCAGTCTGGAAGCGGGGCTTGGCAACTGCTCTGAACTGTTCCAGCCCAGTCTCCTGAATGGTAGCAAAAACTCCTCCTCTGAGAAGAGACTGGAGTTTTGGGAAGCAGCCAATTGCCATTTTGGGCCATGAGAAGGATTGCCCGCTGAGAAATACCATTCTGGGCCGAGCTTCTGGCTGGCTCACTGCTGATAAAAGCACCAGCGAGTAAGACCAACGTCCATATTGAAGCAGAATTCTCCAAATGTGTTCAACAACAATGTCACGGAAGGATCATCATCTCCCCCTATTCGTCCCTTATGTGACCGCCACAGTGGCCAGCCCTCCTCCTAACGGCCACTTGCCTACACGCCATATTACGGATGAAAACTCGCTCAGTTCAAGAGGGAAAACAAACGCTGGAGCCAGACAGCTGTGAACAGCAGAGCTGAAATTCTAACACAGATCTGTGTGGCAGCAAAGCCCACAGTCTCTCCACCAACTGAAGTTCAGAGATAATTAATACCTGGATGCCTAAGTCCTGGGGTCTGGCTCTCATTGGCTGATTAATAAGCAAAGAGGGCTGCCTGCTTTTCACCAGGCCACTCGTTCGACTGTGTTTGAAATACTAAAAACAAACAAAAAAGCCAGTTGCCATTCAGTTGACCCCGACTGTGGGGAGAACTGGGCGCTGCATAAGGTTTTTACTGGCTGCTTTCTTAGAGGTAGATTGCCGGTACTCCTGGGCGGATTCCAATCCCCAACATTGATTTAGCAGTCACACTCTCTTAACATCTTGCACCATCTGGTTGGGGATGGGGGTGGGGGGGTCCAAATTTCCAAAATAACCTAGTAAGATCATCCTTTCATTCTAAAAGTTCCCTCCCACTAGAAACCAGTAAGATACTACGGTAGGATAAACTTCCCCAGAACTTAAAAAAATGTGAGCATTCTCATATTAAGCCCATGCTTAGTCAGTGGAGAACGCATCCAGTCCATGGAAATAAAAAGCAAAGACTTCCTCTTTCAGTGGATTAACATGGTGGAGGTGGGGATGGGGATTCAGGTCTTTATTGACTTCTTAGTTCAAGAGACCCAGATTCCCTGGCGGTGTAACCTGCATCTGATGTGGACGCCTTCTCTACTACAGTCCCATGCGTGCTATGCATCTGGTTCAAGTGCAGCAGGCGGCAGCGCCCGAGAGAGCAAACAGCCTCAGAAAGAACCTGAGCTTCGAACAGATTCAGAAACATACACTATCTGTGAAGTAAAACAGCCAGGAGGGACAAAAACAATAACCCACAGACCCTAAACCTCTCCCCAACAACAAAAGAGCCCCAAAAAACAATGCAATCCCAATCTGACATTAAAAACCCAGCGTATGCCAATTCTAGAATAAATCTGATCAGTTAGATAATGCAGGGTTGCCTGTAGTTTAATTAATTTCTTGACAATATTCTTGGTGTCAACTCGGACGGGATCCATCACACATGCTGCTTGGTACCAGCCCACTACGACTGAGGCCTTGGGAGAGCTATTTCAGCAGAAGTGACACTCTTTCCTCTCCGGGAATTGTTTAATCCTTTGAAAGGACCATTCGCCGTGTGCTCCAGAGCCCTACGTTCAGGTTGTTTGAAACGAGGAGAAGCAGGTAGCCTAACAAAATCACAATTCATGTAGCAAGATGAATCACCATACCCCGGAGACTATCAGAAACAATTAAAAGGAGAGAGAGGGGGAGAAGGGAAAATTTAAAGTACCAAAACAATAAATAATTTTTTTTTTTTTAAAAAGAAAGAAAAGCAAAAGGTCTCAAGGTCACTGTGAAGGGAATCAAGGCAGGTGAGAGGACAGGCCGCATTCTTAGAGAAGGTACAATATTTCAATCCCTTTACCTGATGCTGTTACCAGGAGGCTGTCTGAGGCACCTGGTCTACAGGATGAGGCACTAACAGGGTTTATGGGACAGCGGAAGGCAATGGTGGTGGGAATGACAAGGGGTCTGTCTGAACATGCAGGTGGTTTCAGTCCAGGGGTTTCAGCACGCCAGGCACCCACCTGAGACGTGGCCAGGGCTGAAACGGCACAGCCTGCGGGTGCCACAGTTAAATCTATGGAGGGTTTTGGTGGCAGCTGGGGGGAGGATGACTTAGGGAGGCTCTCCTCATTTATGACCCTGTTCCCTTGTGGCACACTGGTGGGAGGCAAAGCCACCGTTTTATGATCAACTTTGGGCCCTGCGTTCGAGGCCCGGCTGCTATCCAGGAGAACTTTGAGTTGGGGGTGTGGTGGAGAAGGAGTCTGGGAGAGCCCTGGCTTTTTTGGAGGGATGGGGGGCGGGTTTCCTCTGTCAACACGTGCTGCACCGGGAGTCTTTAAACTGGTCCGACCAACTGGAGGGTGGGTGCTGCCCTCCCCCGTGGGGGGTGCCCCCGGCCTGGGGGGAGCACCTGCTTGAGGGCTTGTAAATCTTGACAGCGCTTGGGTCACGGTGTTCCGAGCGAGCTGTTTGGCCACTAGGTTGTCACGACTCGTGGGAGAGACATCTCTGGAAGGGGGACTTTGAGTGTTGTTTCCATTTTGGTCCTGGTCATTGTTAGCATTGCCCTGAAATCTAAACCTCACTGCTTGGACCCGTGGGGTTAGAGCCGGATGCAAAGCCGCATTGGCACATGGTGAATGGACAGTGTGCGTAGAAGGAGCCTGCGCCGGGTAGTTCTGGGCGGCTGCGTTTGGTGTCTGAATGGCGGGAGGGGCAGCGTTACTGGGAAGAGGGGCTGTGCTGCTTGGTGTATCTGGCCCTGAGCTAGTACTCGGTCCATTTTCCTCAATTTTGTTTGTACTCGGAGGCGGGATGGTGGGTGGAGAGGACACAATCAAGTCAGCATGGGAAGCCTGTCTGTCAACCCCAGGCCTGGCCAGTGGGGCAGTGGCGCCCCCACTCCCCTTTGCACTTGCAGCTACGAGGGGGCTCCCGGCAGCAGGCTTGGCAGGCACCGTCAGAGGCAACTTCTTCACGTGGTCGGTGCTTTCCACCCCCAGGTCGGTCTGACATGCCACAGACCCTGTCCCAGGGCCTTCTGTGCCCACGGATACGGAAACCCAACGCCTATCTTTCGCCTTCCGAGGAAGAGAGAGACTGGGCTTGCTGTCGTTTCCCCTTTTCAGCTGCTCAGTCATCTTCTTCATCTTGTCGATCTCCCCTTTGAGGTCAGTCGTGTGTGCTTCCTCGCGGCTCAGCTTGGCACGGAGCTGCTCCCGCTCGGTATCAAACTCGGACAGCTGCTTTTCCATCTGAGCTTCCATCTCCGCACTCCTTCGCTTCTCTCCGGAGAGCTCCTCCTCCAGGCCACTGGCCCTTTTCTTCTCCTCCTCCAGCTGGGCCAGGGCTTCTTCCACCTTCTGGGCCTCCTCGATGACCTTGCCCGAGAGCTGCTTGCACTCCTTGACCAGCATCAGCACCACGTGCTTGTTCTTGACCCGCTCCTCCTCCAGCCGCGCAGCCAGCGTCTTGTGCTCCTGCTCCAGGGTCTGGAGCTGCAGCTTCTCCATTTCCAGCTGAAAAGACAGCACAAAACCACTCTGATTAATGCACCCAAACAAAACAGACCGGAAGACGGATATTTTGTGTGTGAGATTCTTAGGCATTTTTCGAACAATGACCTGGGTTAGCTAAAAGGCCAAGTTTCCTAAATGCACTATGTGATGAGAGATACAATTTTAAAGCCGTGGCGTTTTCTTCATCGTTTCTAACGGTGACGTGCTTTGGGCTGCCTGCAATGCCACGGGTCCACAATGTGCTGTGATGAAAGAGGCGAAGATTTGAAAGGCTCGTGAAACGGGAGAAAATGGCGTAAACAGTTTTGTGGAAAACGCCGAAGTTATATCAAGAGATCATTTCCTCAATCTATTAAAGTGAACTATAAAAAAGGAGCAGTAAACTCTGATGCTTCATATCATAACATGAAGTTTGGAAGGGCTGCTTTTGCAAACCCAGAGCTCTGGAGGGAAGTGAATAGTTGTGTGTGTGTGTGTGTGTGTGTACACGGTGGGGTGGGGCACGCTTTAGGCTTTAGAATTACTAACTAATCTTTGAGGTACAGCCTGATGTAAACTGCTGACAACAGAGGGCTGCAGATAAAGCCTACGCCCCCATACCCGCTTATTGTATTACCTAGCAAAGTGATTTAATAACTCTGAGCGTGGTAAGATGGGCTGCCATGGAAACCATATAGGATAGTTCTTTCAAAACCAAGGAGTTGAATCAATAGAAGCAGTTATTATAACGATAATCAACATCAGTGAACCCAGAGTCTGAACTCATCTTCCCTCTCCAGCCCCTGTGTTTACTTGCCTAGGAGACACTGTACTGTAGCAAGCTCTGCTGCTTCCAAATACCTCCGAACAGGGTTCTCCCTCAGGGTCTTTGGCCTTCATTGTCTGTCTAGAATTCCTTTCACCGCACTCTTGCAAGCAGGACTCCTGTGTTAAGTGGCCTGTGCACGGCACAGAGTGACTGCGGGAGGGGTGAGTGGGAACTAAATGCCAGCCCTGCCCGACCGGCTGAGCCGTGTGCCCAGGTACGGGCTTCACCTGCCAAGACACAGGCACACCTGCATATATCGTTTTCTTTTCCTGAAGCACTGTCTGCTCACCAAGTCGTAGGAGGGCCCTGAGGCTGGGGCTTTCTAGACAGGACACGTGTCTAACTCTTCAATCTGGAGAGGGGACTTTTAAAAGCTTATATGATCTGTCAGCACAACAGGTGGGCTCCCTTATTTCTGGCATGCCTCTGCTCCACTGTCAGCTTTTCAATGAGCCTTTCAAGGAGTCCTGTGGGAAATAAGCTCCCCTGACGACCTGTACTTCCACCACCAGCTTGCTGGTGACTGTGAGGATGGCATGAGTCTGGGCAGCAAACGTTTCATGGTGTGGTACACGCGGACGCCCTGAGTTGGAGCTGAATTGATGGTGGCTATCTAGCTACCCTTGTGCTAATCACGTGTTTGGTACCTGCCTTCCTCCACGAGCAGGCGACCCCATGAGGGCAGGAGGAGGATTGTACTTGCTGCCATGTTCCCAAGACCTCGACTGGTGTCTGCTGCACGGGGGTGCTTCCTGAAGTGTTGCGTGAAGGAACACAATGAGTACAGCTCAACAGGAAGGACAAACGTCCTAGCAGGGAGGGGCTTTCACCGGACAGCTCTAGAGACACGGCACTCTAGCATGTCTAAGCAGCTTCTCTCGTCTCTCTGAGAAACCTCCACCATGGAGGGCACACCCTCAGCTGGGACGCAGCAGTCGGCTGGCCCATAGCCTGTCTTCTCCATTACAGAGGGTCCATTGCTGGTGCACATGGGCCACAACAGTGACAGTGGACCCGCTGATGAAAGATTTCGAAAGGATTTCCATCCCCTAGATGTCAGATATAAATATACACTCCAGAGAGTCAGCATCTATCTACATGCATTTCCCCCCCGTCAGGAACAGTGGCAGGGCTCCCAGGCTCTATTAGTTGTTGGGGGATACTTTTGACCCTGGGGGCGAAATCCATGATCCGATTCCCTTTATTGTCACAGCCCCCCCCGCCCCCCCAGGGGAATGTGGCCCACTGCTCAACTACGGGGTCAGAAAGAATGAGTCATTGACTTTTGGACTCTGTCCTGCTTCAGAGAGCCACCGCTGATTACACTGGGATGAGGACCATGCACAGGTGACCAGGAAAATGAATAATTCCCCAATAACAGTTAAGGGCAGCTGCTTATTATATAAATTCTATCCTACCATATGAAATTGAGAGAACAGTATTATTGCCTATTACCTTTCTACATGCATTTTATTCACATGAGCCCTACACAGAAAATTAACTTTGTAAATAATTAAAGAACTCTTCTAAATGTTATCAAATAAGAGGTCGCTGCGAGAACGGTTATGAAAAATTTTCACGCAATTTACATCACTCCCTGCCACAGAGTCCAGGTCGACTCTCAGTGACCCAGTAAGGCAGGGCAGAGCCGCCCCTGGGAGTTTTGGGACTTCAGTGACTCACCACCTTCTCTCCTGTCGTCTTTGAGACTCGCTTCATCAGTTGTCTCTTGTTCTTTATAAATAGTTTAATAACCCCCTCTCTACCGGCTCCTTCAAATCTGTATGTCAATGGCATTTTTATATAACGCGTGTAATGAATACTAGTACACGAGAGACAGCGATATAATTAAACAACTGTGAAGTACATCCGAGAAAATGCTACTACTGGTAATAGTGGAGTAACTTTGTTAGATGAATGGTCCTGTAGATAACAATTGTAAATCCTGGAGAAAATATAAAAGAACAACTATTTGAAGGTCCTAGAGAGCAACTAAAAGGCATGTGCAAGATGTGTGTCCCTCCATGTTAACTAAAGAATTCGAAGGAATGGCATAATTCAGAGCCCAAACGATGAAGGGCTTGCCATGTTTCCAGCACTAAGGAACACACAATACACATAAAGAGAGCTTAACTCTGCCATCAGGTAGCCAAGTAGCCTTGAAAAGACCCGCAGCACAGTGGTTAAGTGTTGGACTCCCGAGGCAGACTTTCTGTGCTCAAATACAGGCTCTTCCACTTGTTAGTTCGGAAAACAGGCAAATAGCACGGTTCACACCCTCTGCTATCTTGTGTGATGTCCAAAGTGGGGGAAGTAACGGTACCTACTATATAATGCCAAAAGATCGGATGAGTCATTTCAAGAGCAGGGTGTACATGAAATCATCTCCGAGCATATTATTTTCTCAGGGAGTCCATCAATTTCTCTGGATTTGATCATGTGGCCTCGAGACAAATGGTCTCGTCTTTTCCAAGAGGCTTTGCTTCTGTCCTATACTTTTTGACTTTTCCCATGATCAATAAGGTAAATTTATCCCAATATTATCAGAAATAGCTCTTTAATAGCTTGTTGGGTCAGCACACCAGGGGTTTAAGTGTGCTTAAAAGTGAACAAGCAGACCATCCGTCATGTTCACACCTTCTGGTAAACCATTGGGGTCTACGAGGTGCCACGCTAGCTGGCAACTACCATTCCTTTCAGTCTTTGTGAGGAGACCGTCCAACAGAACCACGATAAAAAAGGCTCCCCAGCCTCCTGTACGCACTGACTGCAGTCTTCTAGTTGCCTCCACCGCGCTAAGGACCTAGCAATTTCTATTTCTCACGCCCGCATTTAAGGGGGGACTGCGGGGAAGTGCTCAGGGAGCTGGATCATCCAACACTTTTGCAGGGCAGAGCAGATTGTGGGACAGAGTGTGGATGGACTGATGCAGCCTCACTGGTAGTGAGAAAGTAGGTGGCTCGCCAAGAATAGCACCCAGACGAGGAGTCATGAATGAAGAGTCACCTAGCACGTTTCCACAGAATGAGGGGGGAAACCCCGTGGGTGGGAGCAGAGCAGCAATGTAAAGGCAGGGGGAGCAGATACGGTCACTTATCAAACAGGAACACAGAAAGTATGTTTGCTTCAGCCACCAAATATTTTGAGGCCATTTTGCTCTATTTCTTCTTGCTCTCGCAAGCTTCTGCTACTCGGTGTACCCTTGTCTCCTTTACTTGGTCCTGCCACCCACCTGCCCCATCCTTATCTGCACAACAGGGCAATGAGAGCATCGTGTGAGCGGATGCATGCAAATGAGTGCACAGCAACACACAGATGTACGTTTGTGTTGTGTCCTCATGGGTCTGGAGCTGCCAGCCAGTGAAGTACTTTGGGCTCTGCAGTTCTCTTGTGCCCCTTCTCCTTAACCGACAGCAGTGTTCCCAAAGTGGGTGATACTGCCCCCACTGGGGGCTGCTGGAATGATGCCGGAGGCTGCCAAAGCACATGCCTACACATTATCCTGGATTATGGACTATTGTACACAAATGTTTGATTGCTGGGGGAAGGAGGGTGCTAAGGAATTTATTTTCTGAAAAGGCAAGCCACATAAGTTTGGGAACCTAAAGTCTAGAGCAGTGGTTCTCAACCTTCCTAATGCTGCAACACTCATGTTGTGGTGACCCCCCAACCATAAAATTATTTTTGTTGCTACTTCATCACTGTCATTTTTCTACTGTTATGAATCAGGTGACCCCTGTGAAAGGTTCGTTCAATCCCCAGAGGGGTCAGGACACATAGGTCGAGAACTGCTGGTCTACAGTGTCGAGTGAGGGGAGGTGTAAGTAGAAATGAACACGGTATTCTCCTTTACAGCATTCCTTGGCGTCAAGGAGCTTAATCCACGTCGCTCCCTCACCATCATGCCGCAAAGCTCCTGGGGAGTCAGAACGCATTCTGAAAGGTGCCAGTGACATAGCCAACAGGGACTATGGCATGGGCCCCAAGTGGTCACTCCTGTGCAACAGGTCCGAAATATGGTTCCTAAAAAATGCTCCTGTAGATGTCGCCCTGCCATGTCCTCACTAAAAAGTAAAAGCAAAAAGCTCTTTAAAAGATGCCCGTATTCTGTTAGAACGTGGTTGTTATGAAATAGAGAAGACGAAAAACAAATGATAGAATAAAGTACTGTTATTTATGATAGGAAGACAAAAACAAAACGAGACATTAAAAGAGCAACAAAACAAATGATGGCATGGCTGCGGCTTTTATCCCTGCCTGTGTCACGGGAATGTCCCACTCGACGGTGCTCCGTGGCAGCTCTCACTGCCATCAGTGAATGCTGACTCCTGATGACCCCTGCTGGGTTTCCAAGAGTGTAACTTTACAAGCGTAGAAAGCCCAGTGTTGCTCCCACGGAGTTGCTGGTGGTTTCGAACTGCTGATCCCATGGAAACAAGCCAATGCATAACCACTACACCACCAGGGCTCCTCTCCTACATAGAGGCTATCAGACACCTCTAAGTGTGCCTGATTTTGACTCCTAGTTTACTCCATATGTCAGAGTGGAACTGCCCCGCAGGGGTTCCCAGGCTGTAACCTTACGAGAACAGATTGCTAAGTCTTCCTCTTGCAGAGCTTCTAAGTGGGATCAGACCAACTTTCCAATTAGCAGCTCAATGCGTAACTCTTGTGCCACCAAGGATCCTTAGGGAGGCGATGCTGTCATGTTGTTAGAAGCCATCGTGCTGGTTCCAACTGCTGGTGACCTCACATACAGCACAGAATAAAGCATTACCTTGGGCTGTCACGCTCGCAGTCTTTGCTGTGTGGGAGCCAGTTATTGCAGTCACTGTGCCAATTCATTGAATGGAGGGTCTTCCTCTTGTGTGTGTGTTTGTACCCTCTACCAATCATGAAGCCTCTCTGCAGGTATTGGTACCTCATAATAACATGTCCAAAGTATGTAAGATGAAGTCGCACTTCTCTCACTTAAAGGAAACATTCTGGCCTCTGAATTTGATGTTGATGAAGACTACAAGACATGGACTACAGAAAGAAGAACAGAGGCTCAATAGTTGCTTTCTTGGTCTTCCTTGTAGCTAAGGAGAAGGCAATTGGCCAAAGCCTGGCCAATCAGATGCAAATGCCCTAGGCTTCCAGTTGGCAGTGAGCGATGCACAGCAGCAGGGCCACCGAGGTGCCACTGGGGACCCAAAGCCGTGATGGCAGTTGGGCCATGGTGCTGCCTGGAGTCAGCAGGGTGCAGGCAATAAGTTCTAGCTCCAGGAAGTTCTTCAGCAGAAGCATCACCTGTTACAGACTAGACCTGTAGTGAGTGTTTGGCTAAGCTGCTAGCCGGTAATAGCTGGCCCCCAATTTTCCCAGTATGGTGAGGCAAAACTGTAAACCAACGACTACTTTGTAATAGTCAATAAACTTCTTTCCTGTTACATGAAGAGGCATTGGTTTAGGCTGCCATGACTCACGCCGACTTCACGTGCAACAGCACAAAACTTTGCCCAGGTTTGCTATCTCGTTGGCCATTGCTCTCCTCAAAGCCATGGGAAGCCCCTGGGATTTTTGAGTCCCTCCCACCCTAAGAGCCCGGTAGTGCAGTGGTTAAAGAGCTTGGCTGCTAAGTGCTAGGTCGGTGGTTAGAACACACTGTTCCAGGGGAGAAAGATGCAGCTGTCTGATTCCTTAAAGACTTGGAAACTCTATAGCACACCTCTACTCGTTCCTACAGGGTGACTATGAGACCAACAGAAATGGACTTGGTGGCAGTCGGTTGGGTTCGGTTTTGGTCCAACCTGGAGGGCTCATTTTCTAGCCCTCTAGTGGACGCTATTCTACTGTACTCCATATGGCTTGAATTGGCTGATTTAAAAGAAAATCATTTTGATGATGGCAGCGTATGTGCAAATGTGCTTGATACCCTGGATGAACATATGGTTTGTGGTAAGAGAAGTAAGAGCCCCAATGAAATAAAAAAACAAAGAAAAAAATCATTTTGTCGGGGGCTCTTACAACATTCCATACATCAATTGCATCAAGCATATTTATACATATGTTACCATTCTCAAGAATCAGATAATCTTTATAAGTAGATTGCCAGGGCTTTCTTCCTCGTCTGTCTTCATTGGACGCTCCAGTGGAATCTGTCCACCTTGCTGGTGTTTAAGACACCCAGGGCATAGTTGCCAGCATCCCAGCCATGCACAAGCCCCCTTAGTAGGACACGGCCAGGTGGCAGACTGCCCGGCAACTGGGCACGTGATCAGGAGCTGACACCGAGAAGAAGCACTATCTAACACTCAGAGCGAGTCTCGAGCTTTTTCAACGGTGAAAAGGACTTCTCCCCTTTGAATTGCCTAGTCATTATTTTTTGGCTTCTTATTTTTAAAAGGTTTGCTTGAATTAAAAAACCTTTTCTTATTCCATGCCTAGAAATTACTCTTTTTTAAGTATTGTTAATACAATGCCTGGAAAAAAAAATTACTTCCTCCCTTATTTTCAAATAAATTAGAATAGCAATTCTATTAACAGATGATGTACAAGGTAAAAATACTTAGTTTTAAAATCTAAATATCCTTCAATCCTCCCATATTACTGCCTCAAGAAGAGAAATAGCTGCCCTCCCCACCCCCTGCAGAGTTCCCCATGAGCTTGTTCAACATGCCTTTACTGATTCATCCATTTGCCTAGCGGGCTCTCTCCCAAATGTCCCTGGCACACAAAGGACCACACAGTTAACCCTGGGGCGAGTCCCTACAGCAACCTATGCGTGAGGGAGGAGGACATCTTTTCAGGAGGCCAGTCAGAGCAGTCCTCAGACCAAATGCCTTACAATTTCCAATGAGATAAGCCCAGGGTGGGATAATAAATCCTTGAGCTGAAGATAATGGCCTTTTACCTCCCCAGACTTCTGGTCTGGCAGTGGCTTAAAGAACCAGGCACATTTATAAAAAGTGGATTTTTTTCCTCCTTACCCCTTTTAGAGTTTAAAGTTGACACTTAATCTGGACTCAAGGGAACTGAAGATATTTGGATAAAATATTTACTTGCAGGACTAAAAGTGACAGGTAATTTTATTGTTCAAATAAAAAAAGATAATGATGATGATGATGACGCCGACAGCTTTGGTATTTCTGGTCCCTTCAGTAGCTGTGGCATTTTCTCTATAAATAATAGGCAGGGCAACAGCTCAAATTGTCGACTGTCCTTAAGACCTTCCTGCCAGTGGGACCTGACGCTGAGGCCGCACAGCTGATGAATTCGCCATAAAGGGCCCGGTGGACCTCGAATGGAAGGAGACAGGCTCATTGCACAGGCGCCTCCAGGATTCCCAGGACAGACACCATGTCCTGTTATGGTCAGACAATGAAACCTTTCATTTAATTTGAGATGACTCTTCTTCTTTCTTTTCCCCTAAAAGAGAAATGTAAATAAAATGGAGAACGGAAGCAAAAGCTAGTGAAAGATGCATCTGGTATGGAGAACAGAGGCACACACACACACACACACACACACACACACACACACACACACACAAGAGTAAAGGATGCATTTTGCCAAGGGGTGAATGAAAACAGAAACATTGGTTTTTGATAACACAGCATAAAAGCTTCATTATGAAATAGCTCCTTTGACATGTTAAGAACATAATTGAAATGCACCCTCTCCAAGAAACAGAAATGCCTTTCAGTGACATCAGCGGAAACCCAGGGCTCCCCTTGCTGTGGTTTGGGGGGACATTTGCAAATCTGCAGAGATGGCAGCGGTTTCCTGCAGGCCTTCAGAGGAAGTTTGCAAAGTCGGAAGCCAAGCAGTTTAATGGTGGCCCACCTCCAGGACAGGCCGTCCGTCTCCTTTCGATCCTCTCCAGCACTTTCTGCTTTAGACCGCATGACAGACAGACGGCGGGCCGACTGTTGGTGTGTGTGTGTGTTTATGCAAAGATAAAAATGATAGGGACGAGAAACACGTGACGTGACGATATTATAAACACTCGTTATGCAGCGCATTCAGGTTACTCGTCAGCCAGGTGCTGTGTGAGATACAGAAAGGGGCTCTCTGAAAAGAACAAATACCAGGAGCATTTTAATTCATGCTTTAATACATGGGAGAGCATATTCGTTTGAATTCTAGGAAGACTAGACAGCATTCACTTCTCTGCCTTCCTCATCTCCCTTTTCAAACCACAGTCCCAGGCCCATCTCAGAAGGACAAAAATCACTCTTCTGTGGTCTATTATGGCTGATCACAATACGTGTTTATCACTTTGTGATCCTTGAATCATGGATTCAAGTCAACAAATATGTGTTTGTGCTGCTGGGGACGGGCTGGGTGAGGCAGGTTTAGAGGAAACACTTGCGAACAGGAGGCCGGAGGTCAGCGTCTGGCACCGCCAGGCAACTCCCAGGGGCACGTTTGAGATGAACCAGGGCTGGAGGCTGACAGGCTATGAGATGGATAGACCACGTAGATTTTCATCCTCCTCTGCCCCTGCTGTGCCTCATCTCCCAAGACAGGAAACGAACAAGTGCAACAAACCAAACAAGCAGAGTAAAATGATGGCGAATTGCAAAGAGGTAGTGTAGATGGTCCGGTAGCTGCCCCACGATCACAGCGTCCTGACGCAACTGCTGGATTACCAGCACGCGGCCGAGCAGATGCTCCTGGCATTAGAGCAGGAACGGCCAAGGGGGAATCCATATTTGAAAGAAAGCATCAGAGTTCCAGGAAAACATAAAGGCCTTCATAGTATTTCCTTGATGGTAGAACATTATTTTTATTACTAATTACTTCTTACGGATACCAGAATCTTGTTGGCATTGCACATTTCTGAAATTTTCACCCTACGCTTGCTGAAAATCTTTCAGAACAAGCGATGCGCTCCGCTTCCTCATCCTACGCGGGGTTACAGGGGAAGGATGGTCTAAAGGTGCATTACCTTCTTCTGCCTGCTCTCAGCGGCAGCCAGCTGTGTGGACATCCGCTCCTGCATCTTCCTGCAGTGGGCCATGACGGCTTCCAGGATGGAGAGCGGGTTGGTACAAACTGGCTTCTTCTCTTTATCCCCAGCACCTGCTTCATAGTCTCTCTGGAGCGCCAGGAATGGGTCATTTAAGTTAAATCTCCCATATCGTTCCTGGATAAATACCTCCTTCCGCCGAGCCTAGGACAAAATCAGAGGAATGCATTGGAGAAAGGCCTGAAATTACATGCAAAGACAGTGATGATAATGTTTTGTGATTATGTTTCCATATGGAAAATGCAACAGTGTTGTGGTATGTAATGGCCTAAGAAATCAGGCCAAGCGAGGGAAATGTGACCCTAGCCCTAGCCAGCCTGCAGGCCATTCTGTCTCTTTCCAATGCTATTCCTTTCAGAAGCCACCACTGCCACTCGGTGCCAACTCATGATGACCCAATACACAGCAGAGTGGCACGGTGCCTCGTGGAGTTTTCAATGGCTCAGGTTTGGGAGACTCTCTAGGCCTATTCCCCCTGGTGCTTCTGCATGAACTGTCACTGCCCACCAAGCAGTCTTGTACGTTAGCTATTTGAACCATGCAGAGACACCTGGCTTTTCAATCACAAATGATAAATATATTTTCCCACAATGCCCCTCTTCCTTTAGGATCTGACTTAAAGGTGCACTCTTTTCAAACTCGAAATAAGTTTAGGAACACCAACAATTAATACAGTTTGCAACGCACATTCAAAAACAAAAACCAAATTACCCCTATAATTGCGGGCATTATCATATTTCAAATCACAGATAATTATCAGGTAAGTATCCCTCCAAAAAAGGCCTCTGTAAGTTTTGTGTAACCAAAAAGAAATTACGAAGATGTTCCCTAGAAAAGAAAACACTTCCTCAAGTATTTGATGGAGGAAAAAAAAAATCACAATAATCAGATTTTGTGGATTTTGATCAATTATAAAAGCCTTCAGAAAATTTATGACAAGGCAAAGTATTTCTCATCATTTCCAGGCAGGTATACTTCTCAGGACCTCACTAAAGAATGCAACCTCATTTTATTATAAATGTCAACCACATCAAAGTTAATTTCGCACCCTTATAATAAACACCAAATGTGATATTCTATAATTAGCCTACGACAGTCTGCGTTAAAATGGGAAACAGGAGACACATATTGAAAAGCAGCAGCTTTTCCCTAACTTAGGTCATTTTGGAAAACTACTAGGAAAAAAAATCAATGTCACTGCCAATAGAAAAACTAAATTATGCTTAATTGTCCAAAATGTTACACGCTTTCTAATGCTATATTGCATATGGCTTCTCACTTTATAAGCAATTGCCCTGAATAAGTAAACTGTTCCATTTTTAGATTGCTGTCGACAAGCCAGCAAGTAGATAAACACGAGTTAAGATGACAAATGGGAAAAGCTAACAGCTCTTTTCCTTTTTACCAAACTGGATTAAGAAATAAGAATTATAAAAAGGGTTCATTTCACTGTTGCATTTAGGTTAGCTTTTAGAGCTCATGCTAAACTTAAAAGAGAGTAAAAAAATCCCTAAGCCTCTCTAGAGTCTTCAAATTCAATGTAATCCATACATTGAATTATCACTTGAGGAATAAAATTACAGGTCATTTCCTCTTGTCCTTCAGTTTTCTCTTACAGCATATGCAGTGCTGTGGTCCTTCTACCTCTGGATTAAAACTTGAGCAAATCAGGGTTGTTGTTTTTTCCCTGATTGCTTTTTGTTAGTATAAGCCCTATAGTAGCTTTAAGTCAAAAAACAGTCGCAACTTGCAGGAGAGTGTGCAACGTCATTCAGTAGACTAGCAGCTTCCGGTTCCCAGCTAGGATGTGCTGCAGGTCGACATCCATCACAGCAAGGGCACAGGTGTGACAAGCTCTCTCGTCATCCGATCTTCTGTATTCTTCCTAAGCTGCTTTATCCCCCTCTGGGTTAGAAGTCACCAAAAACGGAGGGTGAACAAGAGGTAAGGGGAGCAGGACCGTTGCACTGAACTGGTTCAGTTGGGTGTTTGTCACTCCTTCAGAGAAGTCCTCTTACCCCCAGGATGAGGTCTTTCCAGGTACCGTCGCCAAGTAGGCCATGCTTTAGGACAGCCCACATAATCTGCAAGGTCCACTACAAAATTGAAATGTGGCCTCTGTTCAAAAGAAGGTTAAGCATTTCAGGATAGCAAGGGCACCCCTCACTGCACAGGCTGCATGCCCTTTTAGCTTGTCCTATGCATACACTGGGGAAAAGAGGGGGTTTTCGACTCCTATAAAGAGTTACAGCCTTGGAAACTCAAAGGGGAAGGTTTACCCTGTTCTATAGAGTCACGACCAGGAGTTGGCATCCACTCAACGGCAGTGAGCAATGCATGCTTTCTTACTGTTTCCTACGCTTTGTGTGTTATGATTGACTGGATAACGACTTGGATTTTTATGTAAGTACTAGAATCCAGAGTTTGTCAGCTGAGACTCTACTTCTTTCTAGACATCGCTCTTGAATCTTAACCTCATTGCTACTTTTAATGCCCATGGCCCAGACTCAAGCAAAGCATTTGTCTCAACACATGATCACTGCAGTCACGTCTCCCTTCACCTGCACAGAAGAGCTGTCGTGCCTCGATCCCATCTCCCCTCAGCCCAGCAAGACTGCAGAAGAAACCCACCATAAGACACCAATTCATTCCCTTGAAGTCCTTCTCTCTGGACTAGAGAACGGAGCAACAACGGTAGGAATAGGAAACCTTATTCTTTAACCTCCAACAACTGGAGTCTTTTATATCCTCAATGTGGTTAAAGTGTTTCAAAGTCTTAACACTGGTTTTCAAATATTACTTCTGAAAATTTGCATCTTGATCCTTACTTTAATATCTGGTATTTACATCATGGATCCCTTGCTGAAACTCCCATTTTAACAACCCATTGTAACTACCTGGTGTTGACTCACCTAACCAACATCTTTCATGACCCATCATACTTGTAACACAAACTAAAGCCTACTTTTGATCACACGGATTTATTCTTAAGGCAGAATGAACTTTTGAGAAGTGGGTTAAAATTTGTTTTAGGCAAAATTTAAAAGGTAAGTACCTAAATCAAGGACCTGTATCCAGCTTTGCCCAATTGATTTTAGGGTCTGAGATTATTTGATGCCATATACTTTCTTTACCAGTGTAAAACACTTGTATTTCTTTGTATTGTATTTGGCTTAAAAAAAAAAACCATTTTATTGGGGGCTCTTGGCGCTCTTATCATAATCCATTGTGTCATACGTAAACATCCGTCCATTGTGTAAAGCCTAAATGTCATTATTCATTTTTATCATGAAGTCAAAGACACATACATTGTTGTTGTCGTCGTCCTTGGGTGCCACTGAGTGGATTGCACCTGACAGTGGCCTCACGGACGGAGGAGCCCTGGCCCCAGAGGAGGGTTTGCTGGGCGGAATCTCCACGGGAGCTGACTGTCAGGTCTTTCTCTCACCTATCCATCCTCTGGGAGAGTTCACACTGTCAACTTTCCAGGAAGCAGCGGAAATCCCTTTTCTATGTAGAAATTATGGCTCTATCTATGCTCTTTGCCATCTAAGAGAGTCTGGCCTTTTTCAGTTTTGAAAGGAGAGAAAAGAATAGACCTATTTGTTCCCTAAGATGCTTTATGTTAACAAATCTGATTTCTTTTAAATCATAAAAGCCCAGAAAACCCCAAGTAAATGGATATCAGAAATGACATGCATGCCGTTAACATGAAAGTGAACCCTGAAGTCATGTTTATCATGACCCTCTGTAATAATTTTGTTCTATGATCACATAGGAATTTGTGCTTTGTGGAGAGTCAAGATGAATTTGTTATAGTCCTATAAACAGCATTTTAGAAGTGGGCAATACTAAGGCTTCAAATAAGTTCTGGTTTATAGCATTTCTATCAGACTTATAAATACAATTTCAAATTTCCATTTTCACTCTTTGGTTTTAAAAAATTCACATTTCAAATACGACATGAAGAAAGATGTCATAAAGTGAACTCTCCTAGCACTCAGACATGAGACAAATGATCTAACGTCTGGCTCTTAATGTCTTTACATATTTAGTATTAGAATAAAACATGCCCATCTAGGTGTTCATTGATCCTTACCAGAGGAAAACAGAAAATAATTTCCCTATGTCCATCTGCCTCCCTCTCTAGCGAATGAGATTTCCCAGTTGGGGGTGGGGGGCGAGAACATAAGCAGATCTAAGTATAAAACGAGGAACTTAAGGCAACTTGGAAAGTCTACGATCCAACCACCAGTCTCCCCATTATTAGGATGTGGATTCTGACTCATACTGACCCCATAGGAGACAGAGCATATCTGCTCCTGCAGGTTTTTGAGATTAAACCTTATGGCAGTGTCCCCAACCTTCCTAACACCACGACCCTTTCACACAGTTCCTCGTGTGGTGGTGACCCCCCCAAGCATAGCATGTTTTCCGTTGCTACTTCATCACTGTCATTTTGCTACTGCTATGAATCGGTGACAGGTTGAGAACCACTGCTTTATGGGAACAGTTACTCTTATGGAGTAGCTGGTAGGTTTGACCTTCCGATCTTGTGGTCAGACCCAATGCTTAGCCCACAGTGCCACCAGGGTTCCTTCAAAGGACTACAGAGGCCAGCATAGGTGTTGTTAGGTGCCACCCAGTTGGTTCCTACTCACCCCATGCAAAACAGATCATCTATCAAGCAGGGGCACTTGCACTAGCTGGCATCCTTTCACAGGAGATGCAGGAGGTGGGGGATGAGCTCTTGAGTGAGTGGATGTAACCTAAAACAGCCTTAAGAAAATAAACTATGGAGCCCAGAGATCCCTAAGGAATGCACTGAAGCCACAATTCCTTGTTGGAAGAAGCAAAATCTATTCCTCAGGGGACAATCTCATCAGGAACCTGAGGAAGAAAGTAGGCCAATGCCAGACTCATTTATGCAGAGCTAATTCTAGAAGACAAGAAGATCAAGGTAGACTAAGGGGACCCCAGAAAGGACTTGGGTTTAGTTCCTCAATCTGGAGCCAGGAAGCCCTTAGAGGGCCATGCAGATGATGGGACTGAGGTAGGGCCACTCAGATGTCCAAGGTGGCGGAAGTGGTGAATATAAAGGATTCTTGGAACGGAAATTGCTCCGGGTACCACAAATTGCTCCG